AGCGAAAAAAAAGGGCGAAAGAATATTAACGCAATGTCGAAGCAATTATCGTAACACGTTGTTCCAACCGGCTTATAACGTTAGCGAAAGAAAGAGAGAAGAGCGAAGTCGAACATGAGCTAAAACGAGCCACTTCGCTCTATGGACGTGGAAATGGCTGTTCTTTCACGGTATAAAGAAACGCACTAATCGCCGACGGAGATTCCATTCGGCTAACACTCGAGCAACTCATCATTAATTTGAATATCCGGGAAGTTCGTTTATGAAGGTCGCGAGCCATTTGAAAAGAAATTCTTTACAACAAATTTTAACAACGCCGGTTAACTCTAATCTCGGTTTATTACATGTACATGCTGCTACTTTTCTGTTATCACGAATGTAAAAGAAAAAGAGAATCTTTTAATCCTAAGTATGTAAGATGTTACTTTCATTGTTCGAGTCTAGAATGGTTATACTAATTTAGTTATTACTCGTGCAAAAAGCGATCAGAGATTTGGTTTTAATCCCAAATTAGAAGGCATGTGCAATATATGTTCCGTTTTTTATCCCTACACTAGAACTTTCTTTATTGCCACTGTTAAATATATAGTGTCAAATTTAACTTAATGCGAGTCGCCACTGCTCCTACTCAATCGTTATTTTATACTAAAATAATGGTTATATTTGACACTATACAGTGTCAATTTGACACTATATAGCGTCGAATTTAATTATCGTTTTAGTAAAAGGAGCAGTGGCGACTCGCATTGGGTTTAATTTGACACTATAAATTAAACAGTGTGCCTTCGCCAAATGTCAAACCTATTTCGTTTTCAGTTTCAAAAATGTATACTAGTTACAGAAAACGTACTAAATAAACGAAATAAGGAAAAATTTGAAAGCAAAAATTTAACCAGACGATTAAACAATTCTAAACATAAAACGTATTTGGGACGTTAATTAATTAACGGTGCGAGAATGTTACTATGTGAGCTACGATATTAACTTCAATTTTGATTCAGTCTCTGATCACAGTTAAAATTATACAATTACTCCGAAAGATTCAAATTTATTAATAATCAAAAACCGTAATTCAAATTACGTAATTCAATAATTAAAATGTATATTTTTTATATATAATAATATGTTGCCGAAAGATCTAAGCGGCTGTAAATTGCCATCCGATTGACCTCGTTTTATGAACGACTTATTCGTGTGAGGATTTAAGCCCGGTGATTGAGAACAATCGAGGGTTTATACGTCGATCAAAGAAACGCGTCGCGAAGCCGTACGACAGAAAAGAAACCCGGTCGCTTCAAAAGAAGAAGACTCTAACGTGCCTCCTGTCCTTCTCCCAATTATCCAATCGCAATTTGATCCTCTTCACCATCAATGCGAAATGTTGCGCTTAATAAAAATCATCAGATACACCCATTAATTGCGCAATCGAAGAGCAATTGAAAGCAAAACACGCGAAAGGGATACGCGTCAATTGAAATTAAAAAAAATTATCAGCTTCCTTTCTTAAGCTAATAATACAATAATCTTAAGAATAATCTTTTTAGTAGTAAATAAATTTCAGAAGTGTGATATCATTCTTACATGCAAGACACATAAAAGGAATTCGCGTCAATCGAAATTCTAAAAAAGAATTATACGCTTCCATTTCTTAAGATAGTAACATAAATTTTCAAGAGCAGTCTGTTAGATAGCAAATAATTTCAGAAATATGCATATCAATCTTTCACGCGAGACACATGAAATGAATTTGTGTCAAATGGAATTCTAAAAAAGAATTATATGCTTCCGTTTCTCAAGGTAATAACACAATAATTTCAAGAATAACACAAGAATTTTAGGAACATCTTTTGGTAAATAACTTCATATTTATATCAATTTTTCATGCGAGGCACGTGGTAACTGTTAATTAATTTTCCGATAGGTCAGCGCGTCTCGCGTTTCCTTTTCTCGTTCCGGATTAAAACTCCTCCGTTTTTCCAGTATACGCGGCAGTTCATCAAGCGAACTAACGAAGCTCGAGGCAGGCGGAATTTCGCAGAACGTCGTCATCGACCTGTACCTCATTTCTCGGCCAAATTCTCATAAATTCCGAGATTGTCGAGGGAATTTGCAGCGATCTGAGAATGTGTCTAATAGATATTGCCTCTCCCGACTCGTCACCGCTTTGCCGTAGATAATAGTCGATACCGGAAGTCGCTTTCCCGACTTGCTTTTAGTACACGTGTGTCGCCCGAGTGTTAGAAGGGGAGAAAAAGAAGAGTATACGGATCTGACAGAGAGAAATTGCGGTGCGCCAGGCGTCTGGTCGTCGAATGCGAATCCGCATCGCGGCCAGGACGCAGCGAAGTAGGGTGGTTGCGGGTTGGATCGGGTAGAAGATGAATTACACCGCGGGAGGATGCATGAGACGCACGGACGACGGATGGCGCGGCGGACACCGAAGGAGCGAAAAAGCATGCGAAACGAACGGAGAAGAGGGATGACCGATTTCGCTGGTCGCTTCGATCGACGTGAAATAAATTTAAGGCCGATTCGCTGACCATCGATTCCGATGCGACGAGCATATGCGCGAAAAATATGCTGCAGCAGCATGCGGCTGCCACGAGCGCTCGCGTGCACGCGACACATATTGATTTGATAGATGTTATCGAAGGTTGTATTTTTTCACCGCAGAAGAAATGTGTTCTCAAGTAAACGAGTAAGCAAATAAATAAAAACGGTAGCCGTTTCTGTATTAATAAGTAGTAATTAATTGCAATTTATGTTAATTGTCTGTCTATTATCGAAGACATTCATAACGATCAGAGACTTAAATTAAGCCGATACCTCGCAGCTCTCCGGTTATCGGGATTTCAACGTTCAATGGAACAATTATCCCGTCAATTAAAAACAAATTAGACGTCGTGGAAAATATTATTTTATGCGAAACTTTTCACTCTCTCCGTCTTTCTCTTTCTCACAGATCAAATATCAGTATCCATTATTTTTCGATGTTTTAAAGGCAACTCCGTAATGAACCAATGAAATTTTTCGGAAAGAAGTAATGTGAAGTAAGTAATGCGAATATATATGATCCATTTAATCTCATTAATGAAACTTGTATTGCGGCGACGTGGAAAGTAATAACTGTTAATGATACGTGCGTAAAAGGATGACGGCGAGAAGCAGAAGAGAACGTAGAAACTGAATCGATTCGAAGTAGCCGAGGGTGGGATTTATTACGTTCTCCTATTCCGCGCTTTCAGAACAATCAGCGGACACGCCACAAAGGAGACTGTCGCGACGAACTTAATTCAAGAATAATTGATCAAGGAGCGGCGAGGATCGAATGGGAGGAGGACCGAATTTTCGATTTCAATTAAGGCGTGAATATCTTATATCCAATTAATTAAGGCGGCCTCGACAGTTGAACACACATCGCCCAGAATCGATGGGATCGTTTTCCCAGTGATCGTAAGTTGCCGACAGTTAGTTTGACCGAAGTCTAAAACTTAACTCTTAGTACACACGATCTTCTGGCCCTTTATTACATACGCTGGATCATTCGTGTCTGGGTTAATTTTCATCACTTTTACAAGTATATAAAAATTATTAAGTATTCTTATATATATATATATCTTTTAACATGTTTAGAAAGTATTTATAAGGCTGCGTATTAGCCCTCCGTTGACAATGTAAAAGTTCACCCTTCGTTTGCAATTTAAGTCTTCAAATTTCAATACAAAGTTTTCAAGTAATTTTTATATTGTTCCGGAATGTATAAAAATGTAATTAAATTTTGCACTTTTTGAATGTGGTAGGGATAGCGATTATCTCCTTTTACAGTTCGCCAAATTGTTTGTGGTGACACTCCCAATACAGCCGACGCATTCCGAACGCTGGTCTCAGGATGATTGTCAAAATGTTGTAAAATACGATTCCCTGCCTGCAAATCTCTTCGTAACGCTGCTTGAAATCGGTTGTTTTCTTGTCGAATTGAAAATGATCCAGTCTCTCGCAATCTATTAAATGTCAACATAAACACTCTTCGGTTTGGCACTCTTCTGTTTGGAAATCGTCGTGCATATTCTCGCACCGCCTTTAAAGCATTACCGTTGCAGAAACCGTATACAAAAACCATATCAGCATATTCACTATTAGAATACGTACGCGGCATATTGCAAAAGACAAAATTCATCTACTGTTAAAGGCTTTCAAAGAGCGACTGACAAATTCATAACAGAAAGTGGAAAATGTAATCAAATATGTCGGTGCTAGATATGGCAAGAAATGTAAACATTTTTTTTCGATTTCTCTGAAACGGAGCAAAAACGAGCATATGTCTATAGGACTTTTTTTCTTAGTTTTTTACTCCTCTACACGCTCCCGAAGTTTTGCCATTTAATTTGGAAACACCCTGTATATATCTTTTAACATGTTTAGAAAGTATTTATAAGGCTGCGTATTAGCCCTCCGTTGACAATGTAAAAGTTCACCCTTCGTTTGCAATTTAAGTCTTCAAATTTCAATACAAAGTTTTCAAGTAATTTTTATATTGTTCCGGAATGTATAAAAATGTAAAAAATTCTTACACACAATGAGTTTTTACTGTCATAAAAGTCGGATTATATTTTACTTATTTTTTACAGATTTTTTACCACATTGGAAAGAGTCTGGTTGCATTAATCGGAATTCTGATGATTACAAATAGACACGTTAGAATTTACTAATTAAATTTATTTAATTCTAGTCAAGATAACCAGAATTCTGATTGATAAGATCAGACTCCCTTCTGGTTCGATCATTTTCAAACACTCAAAACTTTTGTCAGAATTTACAATCAAAAAATTGATTGTCATGCTTTTAAAGTCCAACATCGCCGACGAGGGTTGAAAAAGTATTTCAAAAGAAAACTATTATACTTGTATATACTAGTAAAAGCAAAGAAATGCGTAGGACACGAATGACCGAATCGTGCGTACTTTAAACTGAGATTTAACAAAAGTTGGACTTTGACTCACCGGTGACCGGAGCCTCGATGTCTATCATAGTCTTCTCCGAGCGTAGAAGGGCGGCTCCATCGTTGATTATACGAAGAGCCGCAGCCTCGTCGATCCTACCTTCGAGGATAAAGTGTTGCTTGAGAACCTCCGGCCGCGGGGATCCTGTTCGTTCGTCGAAGACTTCTGCCACTGTCATTTTGTGCGACGGTGGAAACGGGACATCTGTGGACAAAACGAATGATTTACGGTGCAAAAAGTGTACATAAAAATATGTAAATATATAAAATATTCTGGAACTATATATACAACTTTTTTTTCAAAAAAATTATTAAATATACAGAGTTTCAGTAACCGCTTGAAAAATGTTTTGAAGTAATTTTGTAAATTTTTCTTCGTCGAGTAAACCTTTGCATAAGAGTAACAGATTATCTCCCGATCTTGCACGGCAATAGCATTAATTACAGTCGAGCCGCTCGCTGTAATCCCAAGTGACAATTAAATGTTTTTTTTTACGAGATATGAGCGGCGCTACAAAGCGATTCATAGAATAAATCGGCACGTACACATGACGATCGTGCCTAAATATTGATCAAACGACTTTATGTTCGAAACGAAGCGCTACACTCCCTACCTCAAGAATTAATGAGTATGTACAGCTAAGACACATAATCTTGTTTTTCCTTTATGTTTCATATCCACGCGGGTGCCCGTGATTTACGACTTCGAGTCTTCTCGTGCTCACTTTTAAATCGCGCGGTTGGCGTTCACCAAGAATTATGCAGCAGACCAGAATCGCGCATTTTCATTTTCTCGCTACGTAATGGTGTGAAATACACTCTAGTGCATGCTCCATTTGCTTTACTTTGCACATCGCGTTTTTACGACGTTGCGGGAAAGCATGAGTGAGAGAAAGTTTTGAGATTAACGAACGAGATGCGATAAAAATGTGCATTTAATTTTCGAATAATTACGCAAGATGTTTGCGTAACGCCAGCGTTTACCACTCGTTTACGACGTTCAAGACGATTACGCAACGTAAAATCATTAATCGCGCCTATCGCGCATACACAGTGCGCGATTTATCTTTACTTAAGTGCTGGGGTAGACGAAGTAGCAGCTGAGAAAACAATAGACAGTGAAAAAAATCGAATTCTTTTCCGTTTATCGTGAACTACCTTGCGGCATGTAACGAGTTCAAAAGCAATTATAATACTTCTCAAGAAAGCTTTAATCGCAAAATACTTCAAGTAACGTCTTTGGTGTAATCTAGAATTTTTCAACCGGAGTACCGCAAAGGCTCTTCAAGTGCGATATGAAAATTTTAAAGAAGACAAAGAGAAGGGAAAAAATTTAGAAATAAGTAAAAAAGTGAATGAGATGCGAGGTAAAAAATATTTTAAAAATTGTGAAAATTATTTTACTTACTAAATTATATTGCATTTACTTTTATTTTAATCAAAGCGATATCGTTATTGTAATAAAATCACTTTTAAAGCAACAAAATTAAAAATAAAAACTTACAATTTTACTTTTTATTTTTTTAATATTGATAGTATCTGATGAAAGATTTATGTTGAGCGTTGAAGCGTGTATACCTTGATGTATACTGAAAAAAATGCATGTAATTTTACATGGAAATTACATGTATATGACTGGAAAATTATCTAAATTACATAAATATGCTTGGAAATTTACTGGAAATTGTAAATTTCCAATCATATTTAGGTAATTTTCCAGTCATAAACATGTAATTTCCATGTAACATTACATGCATTTTTTTCAGTGTACTTTGACGTACATTGATAAATTGAATAATTGATATACTTTGATAAATTTGGTTTGTTATTTAATGTGCCGGAATTGAAAAAGGTTGAAAAACGCTGATATAACCGATTACTAACGTCGACTATAAATTACTATTTCGCCTCATCTTTTCTCTCTCTCTCTCTCTCTTTCTTTTGGCTGTTATTTAAAAAATATCTTGCCTTATCTATGTCAGGCACATGTTAAAACAACGTATAAGTACAAATTAGATATTTCAATTCACATGGATCGATAACGATTTACGAGAGAATAGGTAACAGGTGGGCGACAACGAGGCACCACCGCGGACAATATCTCGCAACGTCGGCCGAGCCGATGCAAAAACGTACGGCACTCAAGGTTGAAATCGTTATTATTGTTACGCGGCACGCTACGATCATCGATCGACCATTTCAAGGTGAAACGCGTTTACCTGGTCTGTGTCTTTCGAGTATTTGGACCTGTTTTCTTGAAGTATCCGTCGAAGTTCGCAGCTTAAGAATGGGATTTTTCCATTCTGGAACGAGATTTTTCCCTTGCACTGGCGAACTCGTTTTTATACCGCAGCGATGCTCCTTTTCTTTAGATTTTTTCAATCGTTGAGGCGATCGACACAGCGTCGACATGTTCATGAACCTTCTCGACCAATGATTCCCAAAGCAACCGCCACTCTGCTGCTTGGCCATCATTTCCTCTATATAACATTGAACCAACTCGGCATTTCGTTGGTACAGATCGTCAAACGTGTCCGTTTTCTCGCCGCCTTCAATGGAGCTGATCGGGTGATCGAACGACGTCGCCGGGTGATCTGCCAAGCGAGTCGATTCCGCATTCCCGGGATTACCAGCCTCCACTGCAGAATCGACGATCGCGTCCTCTCGGTCCGGACGGTCGCTTTGTCTCGTCCCTCGCGGCGGAAACTGATCGATCGAACTGTCGGACGTCACCTTCGACGACGAACCGTCGTTGTTCGGGACGGTCGCTTCCATGGTCGAGTAATCGGATGTCAACTCGTCCTTCGTCTTGTCTCCCGCTGAGATTTCGTTGCAGTTGACAATCCGCAGTTTCTCTGCATTCGTCAGGTGTGCGGTGTGTGAAAATTGTGCTAATGTTTATCGCGCGCGTTCGTCTAAACCCAGAAGAGCAGACGCGATTCTGATGGACGTAGAAAGCTCCCCTTTCTTCCCCTCAAATAAGAAACCATGAAGATATCACGAGATTTTCACAGGGATTCAAAGAAATTACATGGTTTGTGGGTTCTTGATACATTGTTAAATACTAACGTTTCGTTACATTACAGTTCACTTCATCAGATCGAGAAGCAGCCAGATTACTTTTTACTCTAATGAAGTAAACTGCAATGTGTTCACGTTGACATTCAATCCTCTACTGGCAACATGGAATTTTAACTGTTCGTTAACAGTAAGGTTATTAACTTCGAAGAGAGCAAATTTTGTTATTGTTCTGAGCTATATAAAAAATTGAAAAAATTTTGATATATTTCCAGCTTTAACATATTTTTACCATCGTAGAAGAATTGTATTTTACTTACTTTTTACAGATTTACATTTATTGACCAGAATATTACAATCAAAATATCGATGATAACATTAAAGACCCCAGTTGCCGACGGAGGGTTAAATGCCAATGTTTCGTGAATATTGCAGTTCATTTCATCAGGGCGAGAAACAATCAGTATTACAGGCTGCTTTTCGCCCTGATAAAGTGAAGTGCTTGAATGTTCGTCAAACAATGGCACTTAACAATCTCTCAAGACACGGAAATAACCCGTAAACCACGTAATTTCCTTGAAGAAAATCTGTAGAAGCCTCAACGGAGGATAGACGTTTCTTCTCTCGGGGTTTCACGTCCATCAGAGTCGCAACTACTTTAGTGGATGTTCAGATGAAGGCGCGTGGATATCTCGACGTGGATTAGTTGAGCGTACCTGTTTTCTCGATCAATGACTCATCGCACGATGAGCACGTTTCTGTCGTATTCTCATCGCACATCTTGAGTATAGGTGTAAAAGAAGAATTATTCAGAGAACGGTCCATCTGCCTCCACTGTAGAA